TGAACACCGTCGATCACCGCTGACCTCTGTCAACTACCACCGACCGTCACCGACTGTTGTTAGCCACCGCTCACCTCCGTCAACCACCGCTTACTGGACGTCATCAGTCGACGTCATAACGTGGAAAGCTAGTAACCCTTTTCCGCTTGTGGGACAAGGGGCATCTGTAATCATCATCTTATAGTGGATTTTTACAACTGGGCAAGGCCCCGTGGTTTTTCCCTTTTCACGGGTTTTCCACGTAAAAATTTCTGGTGTGATCACAACTTGATTCACTTTCATCTGAGTGTGTGCTGAATTTTCGTGCAATGCTAAGACGATAATCCATTACTCTACCGCCGCGAATTTTCTAGCACGCATCAATATATATATATAATGTCTCCCACTTCACGTCGGTGTGCGGTTTCACTCTAATTTGCCGACCTCCAGTAAGGCTTGTAGAATCGAATTCCTCTTAATCGCTCGGATCTGAAAGCTTCTTCTTTTACTGAAGGATTCTGTATAGAAAGTAGGCAGAGGCTACTGCCTCCTGGTTTCTTGGCCAAATTTTCTCTCTACCTCATCGGAGGCTTCGCGTTATGTGAAGCTAACGGAGTACTATAGGAGAGCCTCAATTGCATATTTAACATTTGAAACACAGCCATTAAAAAAACTATAACACCCTCTACGTGCCATTTATCCTTAATTTTCACTTCTTCTCAAATTCCCAATAATATGATGGTGGAAAATACATTCATACTAGTTAAGAAAAACATAAAAATGTATAAATTTTATATTTTTGATTAATAAATATCTGAAATTAGTGTAATGCAGGGAGTGGGGATAATCATATGACATGGGTTCATATATGTTGTTTCTTCACTTTATATTTTTTTAATGTATTCTTATATTTTGGTATATTGTTTAATGTTGATATATATATTTTTTTATTTTTTGTACATCATTATAGCGATAATGCCTCTCTTGCATCTATAACAAAGAATTATATAATGAATGGCATGTTTAGTTAGCTAAATTGTACTTTATGACATTTTAACATAGGTCACAGTTGTATTTGACTCAAACTATTCTCAAATTTGCTATAGTGTTTTCCATCCTTTTTATTTTTTGGAATAAACATTCCTTCTATAATATTGCTTGACTTATCTTAATATAATATATATTAAATTCATTCAACATACATGTATATGTATGTATGTATGTATATATGTACATATGTATATGTATGTATGTATGTATGTATGTATAGCTTCTATTAATTAATTAATACCAGCACCAACAAGTATAAAAACTTCATATCAAAATATCTTAACCTAAACTTTTCACAATAAATTTTTAATATATTGGTTTTACTTTTAGAACAATACAACACATCACCAATCAATCATATATTATATTATGCTACTCATCTTTAATAAATCATTAAATAAAAAACCCACCATAGTTAAATTTAAATCCAATCATTTTAATCCAAAACTTCACCAAATAAACATATTTTCATTTACACAATAAATAAACATCAATACAAATAAGCCCCTAACATAAAACTATTTATTTGTCAAACTTTGCATAAATATATCAACTAAAACCTGAAAAAATATTACGTGTGATGGATGCACGTCCTTAAAACGGTTCAGATAAACCGCCGTGCGATACACGATAACACGAATTTTAAGACTCGACTTTACAAACCTCAAAATCCCCCTCACCTCTCTCTTCCCTCACTTCCCCCATTCTCTTATACCTATAAAAGCTCGCACAAATAAGAAAATAAATAAAATTGACAACCCCTATAATTGCAATAAAATAATAAAAATAATCCACCCTCCCCTCATCAATATCATCCTCAAGCCAGTTCCTCCTCCCTTCCCCACCAGTCATCTTCTTCACCACCGCCATTAGCAAACTGCTCAAATAACTCGACCCCGCCAGGCTACAGAAGAACAGTGCCCCTGCCAATGTCTGCATGTGCTCCGGAAACTGTCGGTTATAGAACTCGATTTGCCCCACCGCATTAAATGCCTCCGCCACCCCCATAACCAGCAGTTGCGGCGCCAGCCACATAACCGAAATCGCCACCCCTTCTGACGACTCATCCCTCCTCTTTTTCTCCACCGCCGCCGCCACCACCATCGAAAAAATCGATATCAGCAACCCCACTCCTTGCCTCTGCAATAGTGTGATCCCGCCGTCGAGCTTCGTGATCCTCTGGGTTACCGGAACGACTACCATGTCGTATACGGGGATGAATAAAGCTAACCCTAACATGGCGATCGTCCCCACCGAGCCCGGCGGGATCATGAATTGTGGACCGAGATGACGATTCATTTTCATGGACTGGAGGACGGAGAAGGTCCATTGTTGTCCGAGGGCGACGAAGCAGATGATCCCAGAGGTCCAGATGGGTATGATGCGGATCAAACACTTGACTTCTTCAACTTGTTGGAGGGTGCAAAGCCGCCATGGGCTCGGCGGGTAGGCCCCGGAAGGGGGCGGGATGGCGGCTTTGGAGAGGAAGAGAAAGGAGGGGGTGGGCGGGACAGGGGTGATGGCGTGGTGGTTGTGTGAGATGGGGTTATGGAATGCGGCGGGGGGGGGGGGGGGGGGGGGGGGGAGGCGGTGGTTGCGGAAGGCGGCGACGAAGACTTGAAGGATGCCGGAGAAGATGCTGCCTTTGGGGGCGACGTGGACGTATAGAGGGGTGCCGAGGAAGAAGAGGAGTGGGAGGAGCACTAGGGTTGTGGAAATGGCGAAGCCGAGGGACCAGCTGAGGGAGTCTTGGATGGACCAGCTGAGGGAGTCTTGGATGTAGACCATGATTGTCATGGAGATGAAGAGAGCTGAGGTGGAGGTGAAGTAAGTAGTGCCTGTTAGAATTTTTATTACCATATGTTTGACCAAAAACAAAAATGGAATTATAATTTTTCATGTAACAAAATTATTTTCTTTATATATATATATATATATATATTACTCATATGTATTGCAAGAAAAAAAAACTGTTATTGATATATTTTGATTAAATTTTAATTATAACCAGTCTTCAAAATTTAAATTTATTATGAGTTAAATATAATTTATTTTTCATTTATTGTACTTAAAAGTGAATTAAAGAATTTAGGGAATCATTTGATTAAAATATTTTAATAAAACTTTTATATGGGATAATTAAATTAAGACATATTGATATTTATAAATTAATCACTCAGGTCATTTTTTTGACCAACCGTACCGATGTAATATTTACGCATGCCAGAACCAAACTTTCGAGAAATTGGTAAAAATGAAAAATACGGGTTGAGGTTTTACGATGAATTTTTTATTTGAGTGAGGATTTGAAAAATGGATGAAAGAGGGTGGGTGATTTGTAAATAGCAAGTTTTGGGTGGGGTGTTGCAATTGAATTTACATATATATCACTTAATTATTATGCATTTACTTGTAGGGGTGTGAAGGATTCGGCTTGTTTATATTTCAAGGTCAAAAAAAGTGTGTTCGTGTTCGGTACATTTTGTTAGCCAGCCGAACACGAGTTGTTCACGAACAAAGAGTTTTTTTGACAACCCTAATCATGTAGCCATAAAATGTTAAGAATTGGGGCAAGATTTAAAACATCATTTGAATCTAATTTAATAATTTTTGTTCTTAATACTTTTAATTGTGATTATAAATCGGTAGCCGTGTAATCAATTAATTTTTTTAAAAATAATACTCAT